GATGAGAATTTATCGAAAGCTACGTATGCTCGCCAAATACTCTTCTGAATTCAAGATTATTCCATTCACATTCGCTTAGACGGACGCGCTTACAGTAAGAAAGGCTCATGCTAGCCTTATACCCAACAAAAGTAACAAAGATATATTAAGTGATTACCCAACTTAAAATATGGGTGTCCTCCGCATGATTCGAGCCGGAGACAGACAGAACAGGGACTGAATACAATCAGATGTGTAACCCCTGAAGTACGGGGCCCCTACCGAGATCCTCGAGAATTTCACATTTTAGCTGTTAGCTGCCCGACTTACCGCCTTGGACGGAATATACCAATTATAATGCCCACACAGATTTCGTTAAGAAATCAGCCCAGAAACCACTACGATCCGCGGCCTCCAAGCTTAGCAGAAGGTTGTCCAATGAAAATAAAGTGCTGGCAGGACGTTTCCTGCAGCGTGGTCTCCGTTCGCCAGGCTTTTTTAATGCGTCGTTTTAAAAATAGCTCTACAGTGGTGACACAGCCACTAGGCCGCCACCGCCAAGGCCGGTAGGATGACTCATCGAAATCTACCTTTCGGAGAGAAAATGACGAATTTCATAGTGAAGTCGGTACTTACGCACCAGGTAGTGCTAGATACTGGAGACAATGTGAGAATACGCATAGGGCCAAAGTTGAAACAAAGAGTGATTCCGACAGTCGGTCGGTCTGCCAAACGATTAGCCTGTGTTCACGATAATGAATATTAACGAAACGACTGCCTGTAGGCGCCTTGCATGAAACCGTCTCTTGTCATTTTCCACCACTCAGAAAAATATTAGTAAGACAAATCGCCAGATTTAAAAGGGGCTGAGGCAACAGTAGCTTATATAGGCCCACTCATTAATTCCTTACTCCCTGCATATTTTCCTACGAAAACGGTGGTTATAGGGTTTTATGGGTGAGGAATTAGGACATACAATGGAATATACCTTAATAAATGCTGAATGCAATTTTATTTTACTT